ATAAACAAATCTTCCAATAGAACACTGTCAAAACTCTTAAATCAGTGAAAAGTAAATCATCAGGTGACATGTTTTTCCACAGCCCTGCAGCTCAGGGTTTAGTGGACATGGCTTTCTTGCAGTGGTTCACATATGGGTTTGACCCACTTCTCTTTAGGGAAAGTCTCTTTTTGGTTTCTGTGTTGACACTTGGAAACTTGATATTTCACTACCTTAATGTGCACCTTTTTTTTCTAAAGAAAGACAAATGTTTAGTATTCAGGCTAAAGGTGGAAGGTTCGTATACAACATTTGATGATATATCACCATCTTATTGGCTTTTTTTTTTTTTTAAGTCTGGCTGGGTCAGCCCATTTTATTAAACCAAAGCTTATTTTTCTTGACAACCACAAACTCACATTTTTCCATTCATTTTCTAATGAGTGGATCCTCCTGTGATTGTTGGTCAATAAACATCCATTTCATTTCCTAAATTCCTCTTCCTTCTAAAAGAAATTTCTCGTTAATGTCTCCAAAATTGACAGCAGATCTGTAGTCCTGCTCCTGGTATAGTACCACCCCATGCATGAAGCTGTTACTTAACTTTAAAGCTCCTTTAGTGACAGACTGCTGCACCCTAAATGCACCAGAGAGCATTATCACAGATCCTTCCTCCCAGCTGCTGTAAGACTTTATAACCATCACTGTTCCCAAAAAACCTAACTAAGTTGTTACGTTCATGCTGATTTTTGCAGTTTCTGTCTTAGTCAGATAAATAACATTCTGCTGTCATTTTTTTTGCACATCTCTGGTGTTGCTGCTGTTTTCTTATATCCATTACTGTAAAAATATCCACAGCTGTTATTGATTTTTCTTTTCTCCAGATACAGAGTATTACATAGTAAAAACACTGTACAACCCAATACTCAATTTATTTTGAATTCCTATCTGTTATTATTATAAACTTTTCTAAAGTGCACATTGTGTGATCTCTTCTACTATAACCTTTGCTGTTGTAAACACCACAATTTTCCCATTGTGGGACAATAAAGGGATTTTCTATTCTCTTCTATTTGGCAGCCTTTTGATCTTGTCGATGACAGTTGGGAAATTTGAGTGAAAAAAACTCATCTTTTGCAGTAGTGTACTTAAACGTTATAGACATAGGCTAAGGTTAGACATTTCTGTAAGCCGCGATGAAAGCTTGGCTTTAAGAAAAGCATGGCTGTCATAAAAACTGAGCAAAAGTCCAGCTGCCCCCGATTTAAGCTTATTTTGTGGTTGCCATGACCTAGATGACAGTTCCTCAAGCACCTTGGTTGTTAAGGTTCAAATACCTTTTTGGTTTAGCTTTTACCCTACATATAATGGCTTTATTTGCTCCACTCTGACATTAAACAACCATAAAATAATTCTGATATATGTTATACGTTAATACTTATAAAAGTGTAAGACCTGCCTTTAATCCTTAAGGCAAAACTCAATAATTAGAAGCTGTAAAAAAAAAGAGGTGTCAATCCAATATGACAGGATAAAAGCTGTGCTACTGTAGTTTGTGGATGTTTTGCAAGTTTTAATTTTTAATTAAACTGTCAGTAAGATAATTGTAATCAGCTATCTGAATAACATGCCTATGGAGACGTCAGGTTGTCCTCACTGGTTTTTCAAACCAACAAATTGCTTAGAATGAATATTCTTTATCTCAACCACTTCCAGGAACTAAACTGGTTTGGTTGACGCGAAACAGGCCACAGGTTACGATTTAGAAACTGAACACCTTCAAGGAATGACGTTCAGGCTGCTGCTTATGTTTGTCAACAAAGCCCCCATACATCTATCCTTTCAGTCCAGAAAATCCACTTGCTGGTGGACTTCCGGTAATGATAACCTTCAATAAAGTAGGACAGCTGAGCTGAAATACAAACATATACTGCACCCATGGATCTCAATAAATTAGAATGAGTGTAAAAAGTTGGTTTATCAGTGTAACAGCTAAAAAAAAAAAATTACACAAATCATTGAGATTTTTTTTTACACAGCAATCAATGCAGCTAGTTTGTATGAAAATGTATAAATTAGGATAATTCATATATTAGGAATAAATTAAAAATGAAATGAATTAGAAACTGAATACAACCCAATAAACGTTTGTCTATTTACTTGGCAGTATTTCTCTACAATAGAGTACAATCACTGGGGCTTATTTTACATGGATATCTGCTTCAATGCAATTTGGTATGAAGGGGATGAGGAAGGCCAGGTTTCTCTGAAAAATTCAAGCTAGGCAAGATGATGACACCCACCTGCACCCTTTAAAAAGCATCTTGATTCATATTTTTTTTTTTTAGTGGGGCAACTTTTGGAAGATGTTTTGTACAGCTGACCCCTGTTTTGCTTTGTGTGGTTCTTTTAAAGACTGTTTAGGCACTTGCATATTATTTTGGCACTGCTGACCTACTTTGCTCTGCTTACCAGTTTTTTTTAGCATTTATTTGTTTTCTAGAGTGTTGCATTTGAGATATGGCTGGATTTGTCATTTCTGTCTATTGTATGTTTTCCTTTTACCTCTGAACTTTTTTGTTATCACCCCATGATCCCCTCGACCTGGGGTTGTAAGTGTTACCCTCATTTCATAAAAGAAAAGTCCACCATGGTCACAGAAATATCTTTCATAGGACAACATTAATAATGAATAAAAACTCTTTAAAAATGAAGGTCAGTCATTGTTTTTTGACAAGCCACAAAGCTTCTAGAAAACTGTCCTATGGATACAGGAGACAAAACTTTTTACTTTTTGCTAAGGCACCTAAGCTCTAAGTTCATTGACGTTAATGTGAATCATATCAAGAGAAGAATACTGTCCCTACAGTGAAACATGAAGGACCCTCTGTTATGTTCTCGGGCTGCTTTGCTTCATCTGGCACGGGGTGTCTTGAATCTCTGCAGAGTACAATGAAATCTCAACACTATCAAGGAATTCTACAGAGAAATGTGCTACCAGCTACCCAGTGTTGGAAAATTTGGGCTCAGTTGCAAATCATGGGTCTTGCAACAGGATCATGACCCAAAACATTCAGCTAAATACATCATAGAATGGGCTAAGAGGAGGTTTTAGTTTAAAAAAAATCAGAAGGTTCTAAAAAAAAAAAGTCATTAGAATCTGGGCAGGGAGATTATTTTAATGGCATTCCATTTTTCTAATTTTACCATAATGTTTGATTTAAAAACAAATTTATGATTGTTAGGAAAGAATACTGCCAGATGTTAAAGTGTATGTTTAATTTTAAATATAGCTTATGTAGTCTGACTAAGCTAATGGCTAGATTTACTCTACAAAGGGGGGGCATGGGGGGTCAAGCACTGGTGTCACTTTTACCTCTTGTGCACTTTACTTGGAACGTGCTGCTACTAAGTATTGTACCCCAAACACAATTTCGTTGCCTTTTTTTTGACAATGACAATAAATTCTTGAATTGAATTGAACCCAGTTGGAGTGAGAGACCTTAACTATATTCATGTCATTTAAACAGAAGCAGTCATTTTCCTATCAGTTAATATGGTAAACCAAAACTGTTTATTTTCTATTTTAGCTGTTTCTTAGAAGAAGTAGTTTGCTAGCTGACAATAAGACTTCATACACAGAGAAACAATTGTTTGGTGGTGTTTTAGCCTTCAAAATCTTTTGATCACTATTTTCTATTTTTTTTTATCCTGGAAGTGAAGAGCAGAAAGCAAAGATAAGATTTAACTAACTGATCTAATATAACTAATAACAATATATCTGATCTAATATAACTAATTAATATAAGCTAATTTCATAACAAAAAAAATGAATGTTGGAACTGTAACTATACAGTCATATGTTTACATTATCACTGCTGCATACCTTTATAAAGGCTGCACTGCAAAAAATGAAAATATCTTGAGAGCTGTACTGAACGACATTTCTCTTTGTATACACTTGTGTGTACAAAATGAAAAAGAAAGTCTGTCTAAGTCTAAGTCTCTAAGTCTAATCCAACTAAATAACTACCTGATTTGATTCTTCGGGATATTTTTTAACCAAGTTCAAAAATCATTGTACGGAAAGGTCAGACTAATAGAAAATGGTCATGGTTTGAAATATTCTTAAACAAATTATTTCTAAGAATATCTTGGAGGTTGCTAATAATTTGCAGAAAAATTATTGCTAAACAAGGTTTACTAAGGCTGGTACATTAAGTTTGTACTGTAATGGATTACAGTACATTCAGATGTCAATCTTGTTATATGCATAATTTCAAGAGCCAAAAACACATTTAATGTGTCATTTAAAAGGATATATTTGTTAAATGCTGTAAAAATGACATTTAAGAGGTATTAAATATTTATTTAGTATCATAATATATAACTATGTAATATAATTCTTTTTGCAATGTCCAACAGAGCATGATAAGGCTAAACAGATTAAGACTAAGAGTGAAGGCTTGATTCTGGCTTTAGCTTGTAAAAAATAGAAAAGTGCCAATTTTACAGTTAAACCCCTGATACAGTTTTAGTAAATCATTGTAGTGGTTTTTAGTTTTAAAATATTAATATTTTAAAAGCGGAAATAATTATCTTCAATAATCTTGCTTAAAATATACCCAAAAAAACGTATAAAATTTAATAAATCAACCCATCCCTGCATTTTTCCTTACTATTCTCAATTTAAGGCTAGTATCGCGGGAAAGCGCAACAAAAATCTCGCGATTTCTAGAAAATAATACCTTGGAGGCGTCTGTCAAGTCAGAAATTGTGTATACTGATTATAAGTGAGGAAGTTGGAAGTTGGTAAACAAAACTAAATATATATCTATTAATTAAAGAATATTATTGTTAATTAAGAAATATAATGAAATGAGAGTTGTACGTGCATATTTATCATTTGCCTTTTTTTAAATACAAGAAATTTGTTTTAAGGCCTACGGTATTTTATTTTGAAAATACCGGATGTGTTTGGATGGGTTAACGGTGCTAGCTTGACCAACTCGGGATTGTTTCTTCTCTGCCTCAGCTGAAGAACAAACCGACGCAGCTGGGTTGCATCAACTATCAATCCTTTACAGCTAAATCGAAGCATTTTTTCAATCCCTTTAAATTCGGCACCAGCTTATTTTTGCAGAATTAAATAGAAACGCTAAGCATATGAAATAACTGTCAATTAGCCGAAACCATAGAAACAGGCTAGAGGCAAAGAAGCCAAAACAAAACATTAAAACCCGGCAAACAAAGAGGTCCTTCTTTCAACGCCAACATTTTTCCTCCATATTCAATAGTTATGAGTCATGTGGCCGTCGAAAATGCCCACGGTCTAGAGCAGCAGGTAAGCAGTGTCAGTTTGCTGTGTCAGAAGCTTTGAAAGTGGGACAGCAACGGGGATAAACATTAGCTTGCCGGCTAGCCTGGTACTTTTAGCAAGATGCTATTAGGCTAGGTAGCTCGGGGTGCGTTTGAATCATACACCCGTAACTGTCTCCGCGCGGATAATTTAACACCGTTTTTATTTAAAATATACTATACCTTTTTACATTTTACAAATCAATTTCTTTACATGAATACAAAATATCAGTGTCGGTTATTGTGCCTTTTTAGTGATATTGTTGCTAAGTAAACATCAGCTAAGCCCCGCCAGCTTCTCCGTGTTGAGCATATGTAACGCACCTCTGAACTATTATGCTCACTGCGTTTTGTCTTGCAGCTTTTAACACTTCGATAAAATGGAGGTGGGGGAAATGGTGCCAATTTAAGACTTGCACAGTAACTGTGCGTGTTTTGCACACTAAAATCCCCTGCTATGAAAAGTATAACCATCTTAGTGTTGATGGCATTTACCCGTTCACTAAATTTCTTCTGCGTCATCAAAAACGTAGCTGTCTGGTCAGGCAGTTTGGATAGCAACAGAAAAGTACTGCGTGTACTTCAATTATATTTGGATTATAAAATGCCTTCGCTGTGTTTTTTGTAACGGCTATGCACATTTTCAACTCTTAAATAAATGCAAAATAACTCAAAGCTGCATTGAGAACGATTTGTTCAGAATATCCGTTTTGCAAAAGCAAATGAACAGGAAAAAAAATGCTAACCTGAGCTGTTTTTGTTTTTCATCTGTGGCTCAATCAAGAAATGGTTTTCAAAACATTCAGATTTAGTTTTATTATTGTAAAGCTGGTAAAATATATAATATGCTTTACATCTCTTTTAGTGTTTTTGAAAAGTAGGAATTTATAAAATTCAGATTAGACTAAATTTCTGAAATTTGCTTGCAAAACTTTCCCACTATAACAAAGAAGCCATTTTACATATTTGTTTCACATTTGATTTTACTCATGTTAGTAAACCAGCTCAAACTGGTGGACCTAATTATATAACATAAACAATCCTCCATGCACCAACTCATTTCATAATTGCTCACTTCCAGTTTATTCAAGGATGCTAATTTAAGTATCAGTTTTGTTTTTGGCAGTTGCGTTTTACTGAGTTGTGGGCCAAATAATCAGAAGATTTCTTTACATTTATTTAATTTGATTAAGTTTATAATTAGATGCTTTATGTTTTTGAGGATTCTGTACCACGATTGCTTTACTGTAAACTTGTTTGAGCCTGTTTAATATTGCCAAATTTAATACCCCTATCCCCTGATTAACCCGAAATAAGTTATATTTATACTGCATAGTATTTATTAGACATAACTAACTTTCCTTCCAGCAGATAATTCAGATTAAAAGGAAGATGCATATAATAATTGGTTTGTATCTACCTTTGTTTTTAAATGCATTAGTATGGATGAACACTTTTTGGACAAAGCAAATAATTATACTTAAAGTAAGGTCATGAATTGATGAAGAAATTAATTGAATTTTGGTTGAATCACAATTGCAGTGTCTAAAAGTCAAATTAAATTTTGTTTGTATTAACAAACCTATTGTTTCTGTTCTTGTCCTCCAGCTCGCTGTCCTAGACTTGAGTGCTCCGGATGGACAAGGCGGAGGTACTAATAGTAAGCAGTACACATGTTTCTGCTAACATGCTGTGCTTTTTATTTACTTTGCATGAATAAACTGTGAAATTAAGTCTTTACCAAAGGTTGACTTTATTTTATGTTCATTTCATAATCCAGGTACAGTCAAGGTGCTGATATGCACATTCATTCAAATGTTTAAAGTTCTAACCTTAAATGTTTTAAATTTGCCTTAACTTTCCATAAACATTTAGTTAAGAAATGTGATTTTTTTTTTTTTTTTTTTTTTTTTTTTTTTTTTCTAAACTTTAAACTGTTTTCAGAGAAAAGGAGATTTGGTATTGATAAAATGTCACATACTGTTATATGTTGCAGTTATTTAAGGCAGCTTTTATGAAGAAATAAACACAAGAAAGGATGCATCTGATTTGTTTTGCTTATAAAAAAAAATTGTTGAATTTTTTTCAAAAAAAAAAACTCCAAATATAGGAAGCCTACATCAGAAGTTTGTACATTTATTTCCATCTATGGGTGAAGAGAGTTCTTGCCTGCTAAAAATGCCTCATTTTGGAAATGTAGGCAATATTAAAAAGGTGGAAAATAATTTAGGTCATTTTTCTACAACTAGTGCAATTCAGCTCAAGCAACAAACTGGGTGATATATTTTGCTGACTTCTGCAACAATTGCTCCTAATCTAACAGATTATGAGTGTAATGTTCCGTGGAGCGTATTATGCCTCCTTTATCAACTTCTCTTGATTTATACTGTGCTTCAACAGCACAATATTGTGATATCATGCGAGTAAACATTTTTAGTTGGTAGTAGAAAGGCTTTTTATGTATTTATCATGAGTTTGATTGGGGGGTTCTCAATTCTGAACACACCTTAGTTTATTGTAAGGCCAGCAATCCTCTTCAATGCAGCTAGTGTTTATTTATATTTTGCAGTAAATAAGTAAAAGTTATTACAGGTAAAAAGTCCCATTAAAGCTGGAAGAAGCTCGGAAATTATTTGATCTTCTTTCCTTTATTACAAGCCTGACAAGTTAGCATTGTGTAAAACATTTTATGTAGTCTTTATCTAAAAGAGGTTTTTTTTTAATTGTTGCCTGGAGTGCGTTCATAAATAATGTTTTCTTACTTTTCTTGCTACAGGGCGATACATTCCTCCACATTTACGAAACAAGGATGCATCTAAAAATGGTAAGAATAGTCTAGGAGTGTAAAAATGAAAAAAAAAAAACGAGTGTGTTAAAAGTCATCTGTTTGTCCTGTGTAGTGGGAAATGCCTTTGCTGCTGGCCGACCAGGGGGCTACACCATAGCGCCTGCAGCAAACTGTAAGTAACTCTGAACATTTACCACACTTTGATTCATTCAGCTTTCTCTTTGATCTTATTTTTGCAATAAGCAGAGAGGCTAGAAAACATCTAAAATCCCAATATCTAAATTCAGAGAACAGAGAACGCTTGATTGGTTTTATATTTATGCAACAAAACACGGTTTCCTCTGAGTATTTGGGAGACGGAAGGGAGGACTGAAAAACAAAATGGTGATATCAGTAAAAAAAAAAAAAAGTTTGAACAGCTTGCAAATATAAACTGAAAGTTAAATGAAATTAGTGATTTTATTTTTTTATTTTATATTCATTTTATTTTTTAAGGAAATGAGTGATAAATTTCACCCTTAAATACTTTGCTTTACTTAATAGAGTTCATTAAATGGGCTGTTAGAATCAGAATAAAGTTTAATGCCAAGTAGGTTTGCACTTACAAGGAATTTGACTTGGTGTTCAGTTGTCATAAGATCATAAATCCCCTTAAGTATTTCATTCTTATCTTTCTAAAAGGCATTAATCAGTACCTGTGAAACAATAAAAACTTCTGAAATTAGTGCTCTCGGGTATAAATCAAAGTTTAGAGCATCAATTTTCAGACCTTTGCAGAGGTAGATGAGATCTGTGGAAAAGATCGGTTTCTTATCAAAGTATCGGCTGATCAATCGGTGCAACCCTACTACAAATAGTTTGAAGTTGACAATTTATTAGCGTTTTTCTTAAAATCCTGGAATGAAATGTAAATCTATTCATTCTCTCAGATGGGTGGGATGCAGGGCGCAACAACTTTGTCAACGGCTACCACGACAACCGCATGGCTGGCAACTCCTTTAACCGCGGTCCGCCACGTATGGAACGGGGTCGCGGCGGTGTTGCCGGAGGCAGTTTCCGCGGTAACAGGGGGGGCTCATTCAACCCCATCAACCCAGCTCAGCCTATAAGCTTTGGTGGGTATCATGATGAAGGTAGTGCAGTTATTGGTTTTCTTGTGCCTTGTGAAAAATTCTCTTTAATTTGATTCTTTTATTGAAGCACATTTGAAATGTTGCTTATAGTTTAGTATGATTTAAAAAAAAAAAAAATTTTTATTAGATGCTACTGGCTGGAACCCAACCAAAGAGGCTTATGGCAGCTTTGGCAACAACCGAGGAAAGTCTGCATTCTTCAACGACAGAGGCAACGCCAACCGAGGAAGGTAGGCCCTGCAACTGCTTCTTAAATCAGCTGCAGAAAAGAGAAAAAAGTTTAATCTCCTAACATGTCTGCGGCTCTCAGGTTTGATCACGGCGGATTTGGTGGCGGCGGAGGAGGAAACAGTCGCTGGGTGGAAGAGGCAAGGGACGATGGAGACTGGTCCAAGCCAATGCCGCGCAACGAGCGCCTTGAACAGTGAGTCTGCTGGACTGTTTCCACTTCCTGTTGGTGGCCTGTTCCTGGTCAGGAAGAGGGAGCACATTTAGTTCATATGAGTACTAAACCATTTCTATTCGACTAGAGTTAAAGAAATGGATCGAATTGGAAGCTTTTCATTAGAAATAAATATAAATTGCCGTCCATGTGTTTAACAATCACCTGTTTTGATGATCACAGCTCCTTTAATTATACGTAAATATATAAAAGGCATCATCTTTGGTGTGGTGGTATAATACAAGGCACTCTGAGATGGTAAATAATAGCCTGTAAGATATAAACGTCAAACCTCAGGCTGTGCTGTTGCTCGTCTCTGCAGCGAGCTGTTCTCCGGCAGCAACACTGGGATCAACTTTGAGAAATACGATGACATTCCCGTCGAGGCTACAGGACAAAACAGCCCTCATCACATCGAGAGTGTAAGCTGATTTAAATCAAATCTGATTAAACATTAAATATCAAAATCTTGATTTTTGTTTTTTTTTCTTTGTGTGTGTAAATCTTTGGTATTTATGCCTTAATAGTTCCAAGATGTCGACATGGGGGAGATAGTGATGGGCAACATTGCTCTGAGCCGCTACACCAGACCAACTCCTGTACAGAAATATGCCATTCCAATAGTGAAGTCCAAGAGAGACCTGATGGCCTGCGCACAGACGGGTAATGACAAAATAAAGTGTAGATCTAGAAAAAATATCTATGTGCTGTATTGAGATGGCTGCGTCCCACTCCACGTGACTGAAGAGTTTGACTGTATGTTGTCAGGATCTGGAAAGACGGCGGCGTTCCTGCTTCCCATTCTCAGCCAGATCTACACAGACGGACCAGGAGAGGCTCTGAATGCCGCCAAAGCCTCAGGACAGGTGAAGAACATAGAATCCCATATTCTGTGGCAGATTATTTTCAGAACATTCTTTAAATTGTGTGACTGCAAATTAATGTGAGTCTGTTATTGCAGCTAAATTATTAATTGATCAATCAGATTATTATTATTTTTTTTTATGAAGATTACATTTTTTAGAAAACCTGGATTATTTTTTTCTAGCTCAAAGTGACACCAGTTTATCACTTTTAGTTCTTAGATATGATTTTCTAACTGATAAACTAGCTGACTGTGACACCACTAGCTGCAATCCCATCATGTTTTCATTGTGAACAAATATTCTACAAGCAGGTTTCACAACTTGAATTTTGTTGCCCTTAAGGTCTTCTACCAGAAGGGATGGATAAAATAAAGGAAAAAAAAGAAAAATCATATGGTATATATTTTATAAGTGTAAAAGAATCTATTAGAAAAATTTATTGAAAAATTATAAATCCTCTGCTTTTAATATTTTATCTACCAAAATGAAGAAATTAGAAACTATCAAATGCTGATTCTTCTATTTAAGCTCAAATATTACTGGTGTAACCGATCACTTGCAATGCAGCATTGGTATCCATCAATAGAAAAGAAACTATTAGAATCTAAAATAAAAGGATAATTTGGCTTCCAGTTGTGTCTGCAGTATAAATTACATCTTGAATATTTTCAGCTGACACATTTCTGTCCTTAGAAATCTAAATTTTTTATTTTTTGCCTATGGCTTATTAACAGGCTGCATAAAGTTCTTGATAGCTGAGGAGGAGCTGCCTCTCCTCCTCCATACGGATCGACTCGCACAGCAAATGGGCTCAAAAGCATAAGCAATGCGATTTAGACCCTTCACTGTCCCTTTAGCTTCGTCTTCCATCATAACAAATTTCTCAAGCGTTTTACAGTTGTGATGGATCGCAGGTATATCCAGTGTATTAAACTGCTAGCTAAAGCATCGACTAACCCTGTGACCCCATCGCCTGGAGTACTGCATCATGGCGGTGCTCTTTCCAAAAGAATTATAAAACAATGCTAAGTTTTTTTTTTTTTTTCTTTTACGTTTATACTTTTCACTTTGTAATATAATTGATAACAGTTGGACACAATCATGTGAATTAAGGTTAAACTGTTTAATTTCCACTTAAGTTATATCAGCAGGATTCCTTCAGTTTATCTTGCTGAATACAGATGGTTAGTCATTTCCTGAAACATAAGTCTATACAAAAGCATTTTGATTCCATAATTGGATTGTATGTTATAGATTTTGTGACAATTTAAACTTTTAATTCATTTAAAAAAAAATTTTGGGGAGATTTTGGCAATTAAATTAAAACTAATGCCTAGTTAAAAGCTCCCAGTGAATGGCATTCCTGTAGATGAGTGAATTTTCTGAGCTGTGCTCTGAGCTAAAAAAACCCAAAAAAAAACCACATGGCTGCTCCCTGTTGGAAAACCCTAATGCTTGAGTTCTGTTGCAGGACAATGGAAAATATGGCCGACGTAAGCAGTACCCCATCGCACTGGTTCTGGCTCCTACCAGAGAACTGGCGCTGCAAATATACGACGAAGCCAGGAAGGTATGTGGGAAACCATGCGCACAGATTAGTGAGGCAGCGAATGGAGATGATGCATTTATATATATATATATATATATATATTTTTTTTTTTTTTTCAGTTTTCCTACCGCTCCAGAGTGCGTCCCTGCGTGGTGTATGGAGGAGCGGATATTGGCCAGCAGATTAGAGACCTGGAGAGAGGCTGCCACCTACTGGTAGCAACACCTGGTAGACTTGTGGATATGATGGAGAGAGGCAAGATTGGATTAGACTACTGCAAGTAAGATGGAGCCAAAAGGAAGAAGTACGATATGAAATGCATTCTAGATGCTTTAAAGACTCAAGTGTTTGTTTGTTTTTTTCTTCAGCTATCTGGTCCTGGATGAAGCAGATCGCATGCTGGACATGGGCTTTGAGCCCCAGATAAGACGCATTGTGGAACAGGACACCATGCCACACAAAGGCATCAGACAGACCTTGATGTTCAGCGCTACGTTTCCTAAAGAGATCCAGGTGCGTTTGTTGTCACTCCAGTTTCTCCATTTAGCCTCAGACATGATTTTCTCTGCCAGCTTCTGAACGGCTGCCAGATCTGACTCGCTGAATCAGGAGTTGGTTCGCCTCAGGACAGCAAATTGGCAGGAAACTTTTTTTCTTTTTTCTACTTTTTTTTTAAAGTGGAAACAGGGGAATAACATTTTTTGCTTCACCTGCAGATTCTAGCAAGGGATTTTCTGGAGGATTACATCTTCCTGGCTGTGGGCAGAGTGGGTTCCACCTCAGAGAACATCACACAGAAAGTTGTGTGGGTGGAAGAGAGCGATAAGAGATCTTTCCTCCTTGACCTGCTCAGCGCTACAGGTTAGTTTAACATGAATATAATTCAGTGGATGTAGCAGGATTTTCTGCTCACTAGAGGTGCAGAACCTCTTAACCTTTTAAATTCACCGCAGCCTTTTCAAACGGATCCGTTTTACTGTAGCATTCTGCATCCGTGCAAAGCCAGTTCTGTCTTTCTGCAGTGGTGCTGTATGATGTTATCCCCATCTCATTCATCGCATTGTTACCCGTCTCGTCTTGGCAAACCAGCGCGACTTTTACTGTTTACACTGTTTTACTCATGTTCTTCCTTTGTAATATCTCTAAAAGTGGAAATATTAATTCTTGGGTAGCACTGGTGACGGATGGGTTGAATTTGATTTAAAATGTTTAATCAGTTGGCTTTGTTGCTGTTCAGGTTAATATGTCATTTAGTGCTGTAGAGGCATTAAATATCGGTCTAGGAATATTAGTTATAAAACTTTGATGTGGTTTTATCCCAAGTCATCCCCAACGAGGTACAGGACAATACTGGAGACAACGTAGAGAAACCTGGTAAGATTTACACCTAAGACATATAAATCTCTCATTTCATATGTTGGATAAGTTTGCTTGACTTCATGTGTTTTTGTTTTTTCGCTTTTTTTGTGGATTAAGTATCATTTCATTTAATTTAGGCTTTGTGTATCAGTTAATCTGAACTGCACAAGCCTGTTTTTACTTTAAAGATGTTGTGGCATCTATACACACAGGCCGTTTCTCAATATGTGTGCTTGTGCATCGTCGTGTGGTCGGAAAAACCTCATCAGCCTCAGCCCTAGTACTGTTCCAATTCCCAAGAAGACTGAGAACGGATAAAGTCCCCGGATGTTGTTCTCACCCCTCCCTCTTTACCCAGCATGCATCAGAGCAGACTTTTACGTTCTTGAGATTGGCAGCTGTCCCAGCATGCACTGCGGTAGCAGCAGCTTTCAGTGGGGCGCTCACAGAGCTCAGGGTATTGAATTAAAAGTTCTCTTTTCTGTTGCTGTTTTTCAATAAAAGTTAAGTTTTAAGATCATTTGAGGCGAGAACATTATACTTTTAAGGTTCACTATATGGCCCATTTATTGATTTAATGCGTAATAATAATAAAAAAAATAAAAAAAAAAGAAGTCAAGAGGACCCACGCAACCAGCGGAGCTGCGAGGGTAACCGCAGCCAGGGCTAACGTTAGCCCGTCTGCAGCAGTCCTGTCTTGGCATAGCTGTGTGTGATGGACCGCTGCCTCATATTGCAAATATTATATTTTTTTGGTCTTATTTGGTAAAATATTAATTTGATTTGTGTTTATCAGACTGGGTTAATTATTACTCCACTAAATGAAAAAAAAAGTAAGAATTTATCTAAAGCCTATTAGTGACAGGAGGTGAAATGCAGCTCCAGATGAGCCGAGCGTGTGGTGATGTCATCAGTACGCTTCTGTTCAAATTGTCCTAGATTTATGCTGCATTCTCCCGTTGTCCCCAAGGCCGTACTTTCCTATATTCCTCTCAAGGACACAAGTCCATATTCACATTCTTGTGAATTGAGAAACGGCCACAGTGTCTGTGGTAGCTTCATGTTGGAGAGAATCTGGTCATGTTGGACTCCTGGTCATTCGTTGCCACTAAGCGGGTGTGATTACAAGCAAACAAGTCACGGTAGCGGAGAACCAATGGGGTGTAATGGCACCTTGACCAAGTTTGGCCATCATTAGCTTTAAAAGTTCAAGCATGAAACTTCTGCTTAATTTTAAGTTGCAACGCATCTTTTATTTTATTTTTCCTGTGTATATATTGTTTAATGTGCTCCGTCTCTCCCAGCAAGCCTGCATGTATCACACCACCTGTGGGACTTGTTTTATTGCAGGGTTCCTACACAACCAAACAGGATAATGTTGAAACTTAGTTCAGAGTCATTTGGAACAATATAATTATTGTAAATTTATTTCCAGATATCAGTCTGCATCATCTTATCTAAAAGCTGAAAGCAGTTGCCCATAAACACCTGTCAACTTTCCCTTTACTGTCCTTGTTTTTGTCAAACTGTTGGTCCTCCATCTGTTCACCAGTGGGAATGGCTTCCATTGAGGATTTATTGAGACTTCTTTTATAATACTTCATAGCAACCAGTATTTATTGATACCCTTATCAATACTTCATCAAACGAAAGGGTGTTAGATATTTGAAATGAAGTGCAAAATGGATTAATGTTACAGAAAAATTACTTTTTTAAATAAAAAAAAAATGGATAACTAACATTCTATATGAATAAAAGGCTAAAATGCTATATAAAAGCTATGTTGTATGATTATAAGAGAGGAATACACACCAAGTATGATTAAAACGAAAAAAATAAAGTAATTACAACAATTAAATCCATGAAGGAAAAAAAAAACTTATTACATAAAACACTATGATTAAGTTATATTTACATCCCACTTTGTAATCTAGATTGAAATCAGTGGAAGCTTTTCTGATGCTCTTCTTTGAGTAAACTTTTGGCAACAAGTAAAAATGCAAATGGCTTCAACAGCAAAGAAATTAGTTCCTTAATTTATTATCAGCCTAGGAAAAAAATGTATAGTACGGTTGGATGACATTTCATTCCACAATGCCCATTCAACATGTTTCCATACCCATTCTTTCTCTGGTCCTCTCATAATTTTTATACCTTTTGCTTTAACGTCAACCAGATTCTCTGCCCTTTGATCCCCTGTCCCCTTTTCTTCTTTCATCTGTCTTTTAACCCATTTTTATTCTTTCTTTGGCCCGCTATTGGTGCATGGATCCTTCCAGTAGCTTTTAGTCTGTTTTGCAGAACATCAACCGTAAATTCATAGTGAACCGTTCTACCTATACCATTGTTTAAAAACTGCTAACTCTAGTGCTTTTAAAGGAGAAGTTCGGTTTTTAACACTTTTAGCCCATTTTCTGTAGTGTCCAGGATGAAATCGAATGATCGACACCAAAATTTTGACAATTG